GTTTTGATCACACTTTGTATTCCCTAGGAGAGGAGGTCATGGGAGTTCCTTAAGATTTTGCAAATTGTGCTGGCTGTGGCAACGCACACTCTACCAAAATCTGAACAATAAAAGATTAACATGGCCTCTGTGCAGGGTTAACACACAGATTTGAGAAACATTCCATATATTTGAAAAAAAAAAAAAAAAAGATTTTGGTCTCAGTTTGGAAGCTGAACCCTTTCTCACCCAAAGCTCTGAGGCCCACTACTTGCTTTAGAATAGAGAAGCAATCTAGAGAGAACAGCTGGGGTGGGCGCAGGGTCTGGGATTGAAAGCAGGGCCTCCTGCTTGCTAACCAAGTACTCTGCCACTCCCAGTCCAGCCTGAGGGCTCTTATTCGAAGATTCTGTTCCATTCCTTGCTTTAGAACTGTTTCAGAATTCATAGAAAGCTAGAGTTGACACTCAGAGTAGTTTTTCCTAAGGTGGTTCTTTTGTTCTTAAGTACTTTTTTAAAGTCACAAGACTGTAGCCACTAAAACAGTACCTTGAAAGGGAATTGTGAACCCGGAGATACAACTTTTGCAAAAGAGGAGACCCAGTGATGGAGAGAGCGGGGAGGGAGGGGAGGGAGAAAGAAGGGAGTAAAAAAAGAATTGAGATTTGTTATGTAAAATCACCACCAAGTCCACACAAAGGATGTAGTCATTTTGTTTTGTTTTGTTTTTGTCTTTTTGAGACAGGGTCTCCCTATGCAGTTCAGGCTGCCCTTGAGCTCACTTTAATAGCCCAGGCTGGTCTCGAACTCGCAAAGATCCTCCGGCCTCAGCCTCCCAAGTGCTGGGATCACAGGCCTGCGCCACCATGCCCGGCTGAATGTAGTCATTTGTACTGTAAACATGTACTAATAAAAAAAATTTAACAGGAAATGTGTCATCTTAAACACTTTATCCAGCAATCTCTAGAGTCTAGAACATTAGTAAAACCTAAGTTTAAAAAAAAAAACACGTTTAAAAATAAATACCTGTGCTGCTTAAGTAGTGTTAGGTAGGAAATCATCGTGAATTAAATGCAGAGAACCTGGCATTCAGACTTTACTATAACAGTACACTTCCAGCATGCTTAGTCATCTGGTTTCTTAGTGCAGGTTAGAAACAGTTCAGGAAAGCGTCTGTACTGAGGGTTTTCAGAGCTTCTGGAAGCAGGTTGAACAGAGTAGAATTGAACAGAAAACTCAGAAAGCAGATGTGAAGGTTCATAAGACAGACACAATCTAGGATCATTTGTTACACGAGCCAGGTGATACCACATGGTAGAGCCAACAAATTCCAGACTCTTGTGCACAACTAGCAAAGAACTGCAAGCATAAGAAAACGCAGCTACATTTATAGAAGATCACCAGAAGATGTACTAGGGCAGGTCCGCGGTGACACAGATGTGGCATGAACAGAAAAGTGGTGCCAGGATGACAGGAAAGTAAAGAGCACACAAACAGATAAATCAAGCTTTTGGACATCCAGCCCAAGTGCCTCTTACTAAGTTTCTGGTAAGATTGACCAGGTGCTGAGTCATATTCTGGGGCATCTGGGAAACAGGAGTTTCCCAGAGTTCACTGTGATTAAATTACATGCACAAGATGCTGTCCATATTTATTAACCTTCCATGAGGTTTGAGGGGGGAAAGGTTACCAAAGGTCAGGCCACAAGATCGAAAGTGCATGTGCTGTGGCCTGGAGCTTTAGAGAATTCTGGGTCTTTCATTTATTTTTGCCTCTCAGAATAATGGAAGGAGAGTTGGCACTGGGGTGTTGCCTAAATTGAAGTGGATGGAGAGGAGTGATCTCCCAGCTGAGTCTGTGCTGCCTGTACTGCAGGGACCTCACCCTCTCCAGTCCCTGAAGCTTTGGCTAGCTCCAGAGCCATGAAGGATGGGTCTCCATGCACTTTACCTAAGAGCTCCTTGAAATGTGTAATTTACAGAAAAAATACTATCTCATTTGGTAGTTAACTGAGAAATTATGAGAAGTAATAAGTACCTCTAAAATAAGTTTTTCTGCCCTGCGTGGTGGCGCAAGCCTGTAATCCCAGCACTCGGGAGGCTGAGGCAGGAGGATCATTTCAAGTTCAAGACCAGACTGGGCTACAAAGTGAGCTCAAGGCCAGCCTGAACTGCATAGTGAGACCTTGTCTCAAAGAGACAAAAAAAAAAGAAACAGAAACAAAATAAAATAAGTTTTTCCACTTGAAACATGCATTTATTTATCTAGAAACATGTATTTATCTAGAAATATTTTAATGCAGCATAAATTTTATTTTTAAGGAATGTAGGTTCTGTGGGTAGAATACTGTAGTTTGTCTTGCTTGGCCCTACTTAACCTCTTTCAGATAACAAAACTTGACGATGCTCTAGCACAGACTTTTGGGTTTTGTGATTTTCCTCTCAAAATTATGGGGCCCTTGTTAAAACGATGGGCCTCAGCAGTCACAGAAAAACATACATAGGCTCCATGGCTCAGTGATCACAGGTTTCAAAAACACACCCTCGTTTCCCTGCAATTTCCTCCTGCAGACCCCATAAAAACCCTCAGCCTGTGAGGGGCCACAGCTCTGCTGCTTGCTTCCTCACCGTCCCTCTCCAGTTTTAATCCCAGGGACCCCTATACTCCACTGTGGAGCTCCCTGCCTTTGCTTTTTTCCTTATGCAGGTTATTAATCTTTCAGGGGGCAGTAGGTACTGGGGAATTGAACCCAGGGCCTTTGTGCTTAGCTACATCCCAAGCCCTTTTTTTTTTTTTTTAAAACTTTGAGATAGTCTGAAGTCAGGTGGAATTCAAACTTGGCAATCATCTTGCATCAGTCTTCCAAAACTGGTGGGATTATAGGCTTGTACCACTATGCCTGGCCCAGTACAAGTCCTTTCTCTGCAGGTTTTCATAGCTTCATTTAGGATCTAGACAGATAATTTTCTCATATTAGTTGCATCCTCATGGAAGTACCAAACCAGGACAGGAAAAATAGGAAGAAGAGAGGAAAAACTGTGTAATGTTAAAATTGTACTTTTAATTTATTTATTTTTTCTAAAAAAACTGCAGGTTCAGGACACAAACCCAGTCAAAAAAATTCCTGAAGTCCTTAAACAAAACAGTAAGCCTGGGCTACTTCCTTTGACCTGAAAATGGGCCTTTTATAAATCATTCCTGCTTGTTTGTACCCTGGGTCTTTCCCTATGGATTGGCTGTCGCTCTATCACCTGGATGGGGCAGGGGCTTAGAGCGAGATTTTTGCAGGTGCAGTCCCTCTTTCCTTGAGAGGGAAAAGAACACACATGGGGCAGACATCAGTTCAAAAGGCAGGCAGCTGCAAGACAGCAGCCTGTGTCTTTACTGTTTAACGCTTATACAGGTTGTTATCATGTATTTACATTCTTGTATACAGACATGACTAGTGTGCACATAGTCAGCTACTGCTAAGTCATCCGTATGCAACTGAGCTAGACTGCAGGGTCCTGTCCTCAAAGCTGGCCAGGGGCATCCTTATATTCCCCCTGAGCTTTAAAGCCTAAAGCAGTCCTTCTGGAGTGGTGCCCCACAGCCTGCAACACCTGTCACCCATGAATGGGCCATCACACTTACCCTGCAGAAAGACCTGTCTCCTTTTATCTATAATTTTAATCCCCTCTTTCCATAGATTCACAAGTTCTATAAGTTTCCACTCCCAAACCTCCCCATAAATATACTGAGGCCAGAAGCGTCTCTGCCTTGCCACCTCTATTTCTTTGTGTACTTTTAAAACTTTGCCCAATCCCTTTGTGCCTCTTACATTCTTGGTGTGATGAGTCAAGGGTTCCCACCATCTCTGCTATAGGGACTCCCACAGGTGACAGTCCCTAGAAAGAACATCGGTACAGAAGTGATCATTTAGTATTGCTTTTGAGGGCCTAGTTACGCTTATGCTAAGAGGCTTGTCTTTGAAAGAGTAAGACTGATATCCTCACAGAAGTCCTGGGGGTGTCTATACTTGAATAAAAGCTAGACCTGTAGATTCCAATTTGACTTTAAAAATTTAAACATAGTCAGAATTACTCATGAAATTGGCTTTAAACCCAAGCACCTGTTACAAATTTCAGGGTTCAGAGTAAACATTTTGCTTTTGATCTTGGCTCCAACTGCCTTTCCTGGGGCATCTAAGATAACATGGTTTTGATTGAAAGACAAAAGGTAGGGATGGAGAAGTGTTGTGGTTGATATATTGTGTCAATTTAGAAAGTTTAGAAGGTTAAATAAGTAACTCAGCAGGGGCCAGGGTCCTTTGTAAACATCCTGTGCGGGAGGAAGGCACAGAGATGATGTGGGTATGGCTAGCCTGCTTACAATATAAGGGAGGAAAAAAGGCTTGCTCCCCTCCTTTTGCTCTTGTTGCTTTTGCTGTCTTCAACTGCTGCCCCCATGTCATGCCACCCTGCCTTGGAGCCAGCTGATTACAGACTGAAAAACCTCCACAAAATGTGAGCTAAGTAAACCTTTCCTTTCTTCATTGTGGATATTGGGTATTTTGTCTCAGCAGCGAGAGAAAGGTAACTAAGACAAGAAGGTAACCAGGGTTTTTGCTGGTAATTTTTCAACTTGCAGATTTTGGTAACAGTTGTTTGGTAACAGTTACAAGGCTTAGCTTTGGATAGGAAGGCTGCATGCATGGCGGAAGTTCATCTGAAGGGAATTTGAGAACCATGGGATTATTTTGCCAGGGGACCAGAAATGAGATATAATGTTTCTGTCTTTCCTTTGCAGAAGTACAATGTCTCAGGAAGGCAGCTATGGGAAGTGGACATTATCCAGTAGTGAAGAAAGTGAGGATGAAAAGCCAGAACCAGAGAAGCCCTCTACCTCTTGTGTCTGCACTGAGCAGGGAGCAGCGCAGGAGCTGAGCTACACCTGCTCCGAGGCCCGGAAAGCTGCACACAAGAGACAGATCTCACCAGTGAAATTCACCTATGCAGATTCAGTTTCGCCTGCCAAGAAGCAGACAAGTAGTCCCCAGGATGACCTGGGCTGGTGTCTCTCGAGCAGTGAGGATGAGCTGGAGCCAGAAACACAGCAAACGCAGGCTGAGCGCACGGTGGTCAGAGAGGGAAAGGATATCCCCGCTCCCAAAGATTGTGCTGCCCACAGAACCGGAGATCATGGCCCTCCTGCCAGACACAGGCTCAAAGAGGAGAAAGACGAGTATGAGACGTCAGGGGAAGGCCAGGACATTTGGGACATGTTGGATAAAGGAAATCCCTTCCAGTTCTACCTCACCAGAGTCTCAGGAATTAAGCTGAAGTACAACTCCAAAGCCCTCCACATCAAAGGTAAAGATGTAAGGTGACCAGGAGCTGTAGAGTTACGCCTGAGAGTGTTCTCCTTGGTAAATCAGGGAGAAAAGCCTGGCCTGAGCTCCCAACAACCTGTCCCTGTGGTTGTCACTACTCCCAGGGGGCAAAATGTTCTTTCTGACAAGCATTAATTTGACCACAAACTGTTTACTTAGAGCAGGCATTCAGAGGATGTTTCTCAAGAGCCTATTTAGCTCAGCCCCTTGTACGCTTAATGTGGTGTTTAGAATTGTTTCACTTTGAAATAAGATGAAACTTGATCAGGAACACATTATTAACAAAGTCACCAAGCCTAAGCACAGTAGTTCTCTCTGGTCCCTGGCCCAGCAGCACCAGACCGGCCTGGAACTTGCAGAAAATTCAAAATCTCTGCTCCACCAGATTCTTCCACTCAGATCCTTCTCATAAGCCCTCCTGGGCTCTGATATCTGGTCAGGGCTCAGAACCACTGCTTGCCAGCCTAGTTTGGCTTCCTGGTGATGAAGGGGCAGAAGACAGCAAGGCAGTGTGGGTAGATGTTTCAGCCGTGCTGGGAAGAGGGTCTCTGGTTCTCCTGATTCCACACGGGGAAATAGCGGGAGCTTAGAATCAAAGGCACAGATTCCCAGCGTCACCATTCATTTTCTCTGTTACTGCACAAGACCTGACATTCTCCAGATTTCTGTGTGCTCCTCTTTAGGCTGGGGATTGAGAGAAACAGGAGCCAGGGCGTGAAGTATCAGCGTAGTATATTCACATGGCAGATCCACACAGTATGTCACCCTTCTCGCAGATTAACTTTACTTCTGGCTCAAAATCAAGAGTACATCATCCACTGTCAACAATACTTCTATGTATCAAATATGTAATTGTACATTTTATTTATTCTGTGTGATATATAAATGTTGGTGCCTTTAATCCTGTACTGTAGCAAGTTGAGTTCTATTGTTTTTCATTGTGAGAGTTTCATACGTAGAAGGTACTTTGAAGAAACATAAGACAGTTGTCAATTTTTTGTTTTGTTTTGTTTTGAGAGAGATTAGCACAGGAAACAGAAGTCTACAAGCTTTGGTTGTACGAAATAAAGTGATAAAGACTGGCTGTGGGCACAAGCTGTTCAGGAAGGGAGATAGCGTCATGAGTGGAATTTTACCTAGGCTTTAATCCTCATAAGAGCTTTACGAGTAGATGTTCCAGTTGTCCTCCTTGGATAGGTAATAGAGCTGCAGTGTAGAAAAGTTAACTACACTGCTCAAGGTCACAGAGCTGGCCAGTGATAGAACTACAACTTGTTTAGGAGTCACGCATACGGCATTCGAATCCATGCTGTTTGAGATAGGACATTAACGTACACCATAATTGTGGGCTGTCTAGAAAATTGCATGGGGGAAGAAGGACTTCCAGTGGTCCTTGAAAGAGGGTAGAACTTGGAAAGGTAGAGATGCTGGTGGGGGCCAAGTTGAGCAATGTATTGCACTTTCCTCTTCATACAGTAGGAACTAACTTGGAAGTATCTACTTGTTCTTTTAAAATCTTTGTACCCCAGCATCTAGATCAATGTCTGGGAGACAGGAAACCCACGGTAAATACCTGTAAAGTAAGTAATTGAGCCCCTGCTCTTTGCCCTCAGAGGCAGCCTAGTGGGTTAGAGCAAACTGGAGCCTGACACTCTAGATCCAACTAGGACCCTACCCCTTCCTAGCTCTGTGGTTATGGGCAGCCTCCAAGGGAGACTTGTCCTCATCCACAAAAGAAGAGGAGCAGAACCTGCCTCAGAAAGTGGCTGGGGGAGTGAGAGCTAATATGTGGGAAGTGCCAGGCACCTATGACGTCCTCCACAGTTGCCCCCATAGGATCAAAGATGGAGATGACCGGGCCCACCTCTTGTGATATAGCTCGCAACCAGAAACATTCTGGTCTGACGTGAAGTTTAAATGGGTGCCAAATGGGGTCTTCTTAAAGGTGACTGGGAATACCAGGCGTGGCAGTTTAGAACCGTGGGAATCCAGTGCTCCAGGATCCCAGAGAGGCGCTGGGACACGAGTGGATACCTGAAGAAGGTAAGGATTCAGAGATCCTGGAAAGAAAAAGAGGTATCATGACCATGGGTGTTGACAGTCACCCAGTACTAAAGTTACAGATTTTAGTTTTACATTGTATTTTATAAAAGAATATAGAATTAAACATTAAATACCGCAGGGAAATTTTCTGAAACATTAACGCGTAGCTTTGTAATAGTTCTCGGTTTACTGTTCTCTCAGCCAGATCTCGGTGATTGGTAGCCGTTTAATAAGGTAGTTGTGATTGTTATGACCACAGGACTTTTGTCTGAGTGTGAATCGTGTTTCTCCTTTGTAGATATTTTATCTCCTCTCTTTGGGACACTTGTTTCCTCTTCTCAGGTGAGTTTGTGGGTACATTGTTTTTTACTCAGGTGAAAACAAAGAAATAATTAAGCAACTTTATAAGAAAGTATGAGAGGTAGGGATGTGTGCCTCAGTCCTGTGCAAAGTCCCTGAGATGGCACATGCCTAAGAGTCTGGCATCAAGCGCTGCAGTTGTAGGATCCATGGGCATGGAATGTGGATGTCACTGTCGGTAAAGGTGCCTGACTTTTGATCAGACCACACAGACTGAAGAACTTCTTGGAACACGGATAATCTCAGAGGACTCTTGTGCAGCCACCCGCAGAGGGGTGGATAGAGTGGTGAAGGCAGATCTGATTTGACTTAAAAAGTATGAGAATGCCCTGCACCTCCCAGAAAGGTGTGAGTAGAAGTTACGGGTTCTTGTGCATGTTCTGTGGCTCTTACCTGACTGAGCTGGTCCCTTTGTGTTGATAAATCACATCAAGAGTACCAAAGAACAGTCAGAAGAAAGGGCTTTGTCCCTCACAAGCCAAGCTGTCTGTGTCCTTTGTGTTTGGTTTGGCCTTGAGAGTTCTGGTCTCTAGATGGAGTGGGGTACACCTGTGGGTGCTCCCTCCTAGACTGAGCTCCTATGCCAGGATGGCCCCAGGTGTGTGAAGGTCCCACAGGTAAGACCAGCTTGTGGTCAGAATGTGATTGTTCACAACCTAGTGAGTGCCCAGCACCAAATATGTGTGTACCCAGCTAGTGAATAAGTTGGGCTGAAAGGAAATTTTCTTGCCTAAAAATCCTGGGGTCTTTTCTCCAGAATCTGTCATTTTATAATCACTTGGGAGAAAACGGATACATGTTATAAGCTCCTTTATTTAAATTAATAGCAGGACTGTTAGAAATAATGTAGCGACATCCCGTTGACAAGTACAAATGCTGCCAAAGCATGCGGAGATAATTTCCTTAGAACCTATTTTTCTTGTACATATGGCTGCATTTATGCAGATTCCTTTAACCATGTATTCCTTCAGGATAAAATTTAGGTTTATTTATGAGTATTGCAGCATAGCTGTACAGGTTTATAAATTATATATGTAGCGTGTTCTTATTTTAGAGTTTCTTTCAGCTTAATGAATGGTGGTTCTTCTGAACTGCTTGGCTGCATAACCTGTGGCTCAGTTCCTTTTCTTTCACTCCTAGTTTAACTACTGCTTTGACGTGGACTGGCTTATAAAACAGTATCCACCAGAATTCAGGTGAGTTCCACAGGTAACAGAACACTATAATAATACTGTAACAAAGCTATAATAAAACCGGATTGCTCTGAAGCACAAGATGTGTATTTCTCATATGAAAGCCACCCATCTTTTTAAAGTATTTATTTTGAAGCTATTGAAATCATATTGACGTTAAGTCATTTTGAGCAAATAGCATTTTAAAGTCTGTTTAATCACACGCGTTCTTTTAACAGATCGGAGCATTTTCCTCTGTGCTCTCTGTGCCCAGAAGTAGGTAAAGGCAGACTCCAAGTCAAATACCAGAACTTCATGCCCAATGTTAATCTGGAGGAGATGATCATTTCCGGTGGGCCTGGACCTGCACATGGCCAGATGCTGTGCCCTGCCTAGCCTGTTGGCCCTGCTCTTTTCATGAGGATCTCTGTGCTTCTCCTGTGATTCTTCCTGTAGTTGTGGAGTTAAAGAAAGAGGGTTGTGGGCTTCCCCTCAGTTAGGCTGTGGAGTGATATGGGCAGTTCATCAGCTGCATGTTAGGCAGTGCAGGCCAGTAGAACTTAGCATCGTGACGTGCCGCCTGTCCTTGTTTCTGGTAGATTTGTACATCGGGGAAAAATGACTGTCAGGGTCCTCAACAGTCTCGGTGCATAGAAGGCATCAGATTGTGGAAACCTTTGTCATTTGAGAGGGTAAAATGTTGCTGAAGTTTCTTGAGCAGCTTTGGCACTCAAAGGCGCATGTTTAATCTATAATATGAAGGATGAGTTTTAGCTGCATGTTAATAGAAAACGCAAAATAACAGTGGTTTAAACAAAGCAAAAATTAGTTTTTCCAGCCCAAGAAGTGCAAATGGTGTACATTTGTGGTCTGGATTGGGGGACACCGTAGTTTTCTCCAGGATTTATCTACCTGTCTTCTGGCTTTCTGTCCCACGTGGTATGTGATTTCAGTGTTCCAAGTCACCTCCTGCTCTAGGATGGCAGCCAGAGCCTCGGCTCACTTGTTTGTGTTCCAGGTAGCAAGGAAGAAGAGAAGGAAGGAAGGAAGGGCTCACGACCCAGTTGTGCCCCCATGAGCAGCTGTCCTGCTGGCCCCACACAGCATCTACCTGCCCCTCATTGAGCGGAGCTCAGGTGCATGACAGCCAGCTCTAAAAGAGGCTGGGAATGTGACCTTCCAGCTGAGCACAGCTTGTCCTGCATGAAATCAGGGTACTGCTAGAAAGGAGAGACTGGATAGCTGGAATAGTGAGTGGGCTCAGCCCCAAACCCCTCCTAGAACTGCATCCCTGGGTATGGCATGAGTGTTTTCTGCTCTTCCTCCCTTTGCTTCTCAAAGACCTTGACATCAGATGTCACCCCTTTACGGTGTTGCCAAAGCACACGCTAAAATCCCATTAGTACCTTTTATGGGTGGAATCTCACTTTAAAAAGGGTCTGTTGCAGTCCTAAGCCTCAACACCTCAGAGTGCAGGGGTATTTGGGGATAGTCCTTATAGAGGTCATTGGTCAAGTTAAAATGAGATCATAGGGTGGCCACTACTCCAGTATAACCAGTGTCCTTATAAAAAGGGAAAGCTTGGATACACACACAGAGAAGACCCTGTGCAGACATAAGGGTGCCATGTACACCCCAAGGAGTGCCTGAGGCTACCTGCAGCCAGGCTGAGGCCTGGAACAGATTCTTCCTCTCAGCCCCCAGAAGGCAGTAACCCTACCAACATCAGGACCTCAGATTTGTTTCCTTCAGAGCTGTAAAACAATGTTTCTATTTAAGCCCTTGTCTTACACTGCTTTGTTACAGCAGCTGTAGCAAACTTACACAGTGTGCACTGGACTCTCAGTAGCTAAAGTAGGAGGGCAGAGGAGTTCTTTCTCCCGTTCACCCCCTCACTGCGCAGTGCATCTTGGGAACATGCTCAAGCATTGAAAGGATGGGGAGTGTCGAGTTTGGGTGATATCCATCGTTCATAGAAAATTTCAGCCCAGGAGAGTTTGTACCTCATTGCACTGTGCAGATGCTGCCTTTTTATAATAGTTCACAGAACCCATAAATTTGGAGGAATTCGTGAAAACCTCAGCTTTTATTAATCTGTTATTTTTAAGATGTCTTTATGGTCTGGTAACATGTCTTGTTTCCAGGTGACAAATGCATGAATGTTTCTTACATTACTCTCTAAGCTGCTATTCTAGTTGTCAAAATTTTTTTTCAAGTAAGAAAAAAGTTAGGAATATGTGCTTTGTACTTTTAGCTGAGAATTTAGAATAAAACTTACATGGGCATAAAGCATCAGTGCTGCAATTGCATTTCCTACAATGTTCCTTTCTAGTTGAGTGTTATCTCCTCATGTGTGGCAGAGAAGCATTCTGCAGTGTAATTGATAAACGTGAAAGTGGCTGCAGTTGTTTCTCTTGATTGCTTATTGAAGAAAAATTCAATTTTTGTTGTGTTAGGCAAGCTTGTAAAAAGATACATTGATTTCTAGGGATCGTCTTTCTTTGAATTAACTGGAGATCAAGGATCCCTTAAATGCGTTTTTAATCTATTCCTGAAGAGTGGTTTTATGTAGTCTTTGAAATTTAAAAAATTGCAATGTACTTTGGGCTGGGGTTCATTGGAATCTAACTACCTATTAATACATCTGCATTGTGCTGTGGGCTTGGGCCTATTTCCTTTTGTATCCTGGGTCCTGCACAGTATCCAGAGCAACTAGTAGGAGCTGATAAATAGAAGCCCAGAGTGAATCCATTGCTTTATCCAAAACAATTGTGTATGGACAGTGATGACTGTGTACCTTTAATGTATTTGATCTTAAATATATTAACACAGAGGTTCCTATGTGCTACTTTGGACTAAAGAAGGTAATTGCTCAAGGGCCTTGCTCAAGTCCCAGGCCCTCTGTGTTGCAGCAGCCTATGGGATCAGGCCACATGGCCCCTTTACAAGGGCAATGCGCACAGCTAATGAATAAGCACCTGCTGAGGCTGTGGGTTGGGCTCTGCACTCAGTCACAACAGGCAGAAGCAAATGTCTAGTGGTACAGAAACCAGCATTCCTCTAAGAGGCAAGATGTTCAGCTTCATGAATGACTCATCTTAAATGCTTCTCATCACTTTTCAGGAAGAAACCAATCCTGCTTGTGCACGGTGATAAACGAGAAGCTAAGGCCAGTTTGCATGCCCAGGCAAAGCCTTATGCCAACGTTTCCCTGTGCCAGGTAAGCCACCTGTGGCCACTTGACATCGTGGTCAGTCTGAGAGTTGGGAGGAATTTGAGAGCTTCAGTCCACCCTCCCACCCAGTGCAGCAGTCCTTCCCACCGTATCACCAGCAGGTATTTGTCTAGCCTCAGTCTAAACACTTCCTGAGATAGCCCAGTCCATCTGTGGGAGCCACTGATGGTTGGAAATATTTCTTTTTATCTTAACCTTAAAAGTCTCTCTGCCTGTAATTTCCACCCATTAGTCCCAATTTTCTGGAACCAACAGAGTATATTTCTTCTTTGCTCTTGTCGGTGAAAGAATCCATCCTGTTGCTCTTAGTTCTCTCTCTTCCTAGTGTAAACATTCAGCTTCCGCCAGGTTTCAGTGTGGATCCATATCTTTTTCTCAGCCCTGTTTGTACTCTGTTTGCAGCTAGTTTGTCCATGTTCCTTTTTTTTCTTTTTTAAGTACTGGCGTTTGAACCTAGAGCCCTAGAGCCCTAGAACCCTAGCACCCTAGCGCTGGGTTGGAACCTAGAGCCCTAGAGCTGGGGTTTGAACCTAGAGCCCTGCACAATGAGCTACATCTTGTTCTTATTTCTTTTTAATTTTGAGACAGGGTCTTACCAAGTTGCACAGGCTGGGGTCCAATTTATAGTCCTACCTGAGCGTACAGGGTGCTGGGATGACAGACAGGCCCCAGCACAACTGACTGTGCCTCTTGAAACCAGAGTGTCAGCACTGAGCAGCACTATAGTGTCAGCACTATAACCAGCACTGCACTGGTTATAGTGCAGTGGCTGCAGGTCTTTGCTGCTATTGACACTTTAGCCACCGTCTTCAGTTCTTTTTCAGTCGGTTACACCTGAGGTCTATACTGGAGCGACTCATAGCTTAAAAGCCTGTAAGGAAATCTAACAGTGAGGGAGCCCTGAATGGTTTCACAATGGGTGAGTCTGCTTGCTTTGCTGGAGCCAGTGCAAAGTAGAAAAGGAAGGATACGTACTCAAGAACCATTATCCAGTTTCTCTAGTCTCCCATAATTTTATCTTTGTACTTTGTAGTCACCCTGAATGTGACCAAGTGAATCTTGGACGTTTGTTATGACCGATTGCTTTATACTCTGCGCCCAAAATGATCTCTTAGTTCATGGGCCATTTTCAACAACAACAACAACAAAAACAGATAAAATGAGAAGAAAAGGAATTCACAAGAATTTTTTACATTTGTGGAAATGGTAGTTATGAATTAGCTGGTGAAATGGTCATCTTTTCATGTTCCTTTTAGCAAGATTATGAGTCCATGCATGAGAAAACGTGGTAAAAGATAACTTTTGTAACTGTTCTCTTTGTCAGCAACTTAGTGAAATTGGCTCAAGATTTCTGCCCTTGGAATACAGAGACATGGTACCCAGGTTCCTGTTCTTTGCTGTTTTCCTTCTGGTGTCTTTTTTTCTCCACTGATGCAAGATTTCAGAATTTCAACTCGCATTTTATCACTCTTCTTGCCGACTATAAATGTGTGTGTGTGTGTGTGTGTTTAAGATTTAAAAAGTGTGAGAGCTCAGTCAGATCAACTTTAAACATACCTCACAATATTTTTCGTGATTTAACCCATTGCACTTTCTATAAATGTGGTTTCCAAATGCTCCTTCTTCCACCCAACATGAGTTCATCTTCTGCACATAGATGTGCCTTTGCTAAAAGGGCACCGAAAATGCTGTTGTTTTGAGTCTGTTCCCAGCAAAAGAGGCTAACCTGGAGTAGGGTAGACACAGGCAGAGAGCAGGTAGAAAGGGAATCCTGAAAAGCCGGGATTAAATAAATGGAAATAGAAACAGTTTCGAATCGAACTATATTGAAAAGTTTGGTAGTCCTGCTCTTGGGAACACGCTCTGGACCTGCCACAAGAGGGCGTAAGGAGACCCGTCTTGGCAAAAAAACAAAGAACTGTGTGAGTAGCTCAATGCTAGTCCTAGTTACAGAAATGTGACCCTACCCTGACATGTTGAAATGCCTTTATATCTTGTTTTTGGCATGAACATTTAAATGTTTCCACAACACAGTGTCACTGAAGCAGGATGCAGACTGAGACTTCATGGCAGTAGTCGAACATCAGGTTGCTGGGGTTTTGTCCAGCTCTCTGCCTGGGTCCAGAGCTATAACAGAATTTTTCTTTTTTCTGCACAACTTAACTTTATTTCTCACTGTCCTGGAAAGTAGGACATCTAAAACCACGGTGCAAGACTATCTGGGTCCAGGGGAGGCCTCTTTTCCTGGCTTGTGGATGGTCACTGTCACATGGTATCCTCACTTAGTAGAGGGAATGGGGGCCCATACAATTGTTGATGTGTCTTTTCTTGTAAGAGCACTGTCTGTAGTTGATTACCCACCCACACACATGCATATGACTTTGTTTACTCTAGCCACCTCCGTAAAGTTCCTGTCTCCCAATCACATTGAGAGTTGGAGAAACGTATGAATTATGGATTCGGAGGCACTTAGCATTCAGTGCATAACACTGTGTCATTCTGGTCTTGTCCTGAAGCCTGATTGTTGAAGCCTAATTTCTTCTGTTCAGAAAGGATTACTAATGCCTTTATCACAGAGTTTTAAAGAATTTGGTGCATTAGCCGCCCCCGTCAAAAGCACTCATCAAATATTACCTGGTGTTATGCTTCAACTTGCCCAAAGCGTGTAACTTGTACAGAAGCCTGGTCTCTTGACCAGTCCTCCTTCTCAGCTAAGTGTCAGTTTACAGAGTGACACTCTTCCTTCTAACTGTAAATTCTAAAGACAGGAACAGTTCCCAGCTCTCTATCCTGTGGTTAGAGCACGCAAGCTCATGCCAGTGGTTAGCATCCCCGAGCACACATAGAAGAGCGCAGTCGCCTGGACTTCCGGTCGGCGGGCATCTCCCAGCAGGGCCTGTGTTGTACTCACCTGGGTCCCAGTGCTCATCGCTGCCCCCAGCAGACGGTACCATACCTCTGCTGTCATGGTAGGAAGGGTGGTCGTGATTGCTACTGTGAACAGAGCTCACTGCTCGCAGCCGCCCTTTGATACCCATTTTCTCATTTACTCCTGATGACTCAATCTCACTGTATTTTTTGGTAGTACTAAGAATTGAACCCAGAGCCTTCTCACTCATCTACATCCCCAGTACCCACTCCTTCCCCGCACTCTCTTTGAGACAAGGTCTTGCTGTATTGCCCAGGCTGGGCTTGAACTTGTAATCTTGCCTCAGCCTCCCAGGGTGTTGGAATTACAGGTGTGTGCCACAGCCGGCTAACAATACCCTGTTTTAAAAAAGAGAAAGCTGAGGCATAGAATCATAGGTGTTTTCCAGAGTCATACAAACTTGCGAAGGCAGGATCGCTTTCATAGCCCACCCCTTCTCATGTGCTCTGCTCCCCCAAGATCCTGCTGTACTGAATCCTGGGTGAGACGTTCACTTCTCCACGTGCCCTCATTCGTTCATGAAGAGGTCATTTTATAACAAAAATGGATTTCAATTTCTTTTTCTTTTTCAGCACTTGCTATGTGTCCAGTCTATTGAAAATGTCTATTTTAATTCATTGTCATTTATCATCTTTGTGTTGGCATCACATTGTTTCTTTTAAGTAAGCTCTGAAAACTATATTAATTTCTTGTATAGTATGCCAAACACCTAATTTAAAACCTTTGTGTAGAATCACATTTGTTTTATTAGTTTTTTGGCAACTAAAGAAATGAAATTTTTAATTCCTAATTACTATAATTTAAAATGTAATATATATTAAATCATTTTGGGGGAACCAAACAGTTTTGTGTTTTTTTTCTAATGAACGTTATGCCATAATAAAAGCTGTCAGTAGAGGGCAGTAGACAGTGCTTTTAGAACTTGACCCTTTTTACAATTTCTGATGATAGGAATATTATTGAGGCTTTTTTTTCCTTTTAAATAAGTGACTTCTTTTTCATCCTAGGCGAAGTTGGATATTGCTTTTGGCACACACCACACGTAAGTAACTTTTATGGAATGGGGGAGGTTAGGACTTTAATGCATCAAAGCATATTATTGCAAAAGTGCCTTTACAGGGACTAATTCGTGATCATGTTGCTGGAAGCTGGGGGGAAACAAAACTGTTAGTAGTGGAGTGAATGGAGTTGTTCTGTAATAGCTTTAAGATTTCATGCTGAGATTCTGGCTCTCAGCATGAAAGTATAAACCCCTGATTCTGAAGCGTCACCCTTGTGTTGACCTGGAAGGAGTAGATTAGGGCTCTGTGGTCCTTGTGATCCTTGATGCTTCTCTTTGTGAAGCTGTTACCACATTTTGGGTGCTGGAATGTCCTTCTGGAGGTGGGCTGTAGTCTGTCCTGAGCAAAGAATTGGTCAAGACAAGCACGAACAGTAGCAAAGTTTTATTAAAGGTGGGAAAAAAAAATAACAGTCTCTGCAGAGCAGTTTTGGGCCAAGTAAAAATAAGAAAACAAGTGTACCCTACAGCCTGAGAGCAGGCCCATGTAAGAGAACATAACAGCAAGAACTCAGTGTGGATGTCCTTTTGTATCACCCACTCCTCAGGCTGAAGTCAGGTCTAGGCCCTCTTACGGAAAACCTGCTTGAGTTCCTGAGAGAAGTCCACATGCAGGGCATTGGGAACTGTTCTACGCATGTGTCCTGGGATTTTGTAATAACGGGTCACACCTACTTCCCCAGACAGCTTTGCCAAGTCCTAATCTCCTGCCTCACAATGCTGTGCCTGTAGGCGCCCCCCGCTTTTACAAAGTTCTATGATCTGGAGAAGCATGAGCTGTATAGAATAGCATGCTGTTGGTCAGTTTCATACTACAATCAAAAGAAAGGCTATTTTACCAGAAGTTGTCGATTTAAAGACTAGCCCAGCTCAAAACAGATCTTTTAGAATAATTTGCTGAGGTATAAAACAGAGACAGGAAAAACTTCTGTTACTTCGTACTTGACACATTGAACCTAGTTTTCAACTTGACTCTCTCTTACATTGGATTTACAGGGTCCTTTTACAAAGTCATTGATTCTGCAAATGACAAAAAGAATAAGACATGGTTGCCAGGTGTGGTAGCACACACCTGTAATCCCAGCACTCAGGAGGCTGAGGCAGAAGGATTGCCATGAGTTCAAGGCCAGCCTAATCTACATAGCAAGACCCTGTCTCAGAAAAAAAAATCATGAATATGACGTGGTCATCCCTATTTTAATGTTTGCACAAATTACATTTCTCTGGAAAGGCTGTCTCAGAAGAATGTGACAAAGCCCCTCTTTCTTCCAAACCAGTAGTAGCAGTGGGTGACTGGCACCAACCCTCTTCCTCTGAGCGGAAAGGAGTCCCTTAGGACGGAGGGTTTGCCACAAGTCTGGCTGTGACTGCTGTTTTCCTGCTGTTGTGATGACCTGAAGTGATGGCATTATGGCCATTTTTCTCATTGTGTGCCTAAAACTATCCTTTTCCTGGTCTGTTTTGGGAAGGAGCCGGAGTGGAAGCAGTTGGGCCGCTCCAGGAGAGGATGGGTGCTTGCCACACGCCCTCCAGTTTAAGATGCGTGAAATAGAAGCTGCAGCGTCTGCAGACCATCCCTAGTGGGCAGCATTTGTCCACCAGAGGAAAGGGTTTGGGTTTGAGGACTGAGACTGAGTGCAAGCACCTCACTCGTGTGTAAAATGTTCTTTCATACTGAGCTTCCAGGATGCCAGTTTTAGCAGAGAATGCAGAGTGCCGTCAGAGAAGGGCCTCTCAGTAGTACTGGGCAGCACCAAATACGAAGGCCTTCGCTGAAGCTCCAGCATAAACACAAGTTCATGCCAAGCCCTGCTGCCCATCTGGTTTGTGGCTGTGCTCTGCTGAAACACCTGTGTCAGGTTCTTGTGCCAGCCCTGCGCTCCATGCTCCCTGATGAGCCTTCTGAGTGAATAATCACACCACACTGCTCTGCTGCCGGGTAACAAGAGATCCTGCGTTGTCATTTGTCAGTCATACTGTCAGTCCTGTGGGACCCTGTGGTAAGCCCACCCAAGAGCTAGCACAGTGACGCTTAGCTGAGTAAGTTGGATGGGTAGGTACCTTTTGTTTAATGTCCTTCAAAAAATTATTTGCAGGCTGAGGCAGGAGGATTGCAAGTTCAAGGCCAGCCTGGGCAGCTTAGGGAGACCGTGTCTCAAAAATAAATAAACAAGAAATAAAAGGGCCAAGGGTATAGCTCAGTGCTAGAGTGCTTGCTTCACATGCACAAGACCCTGGGTTTTACCCCCAGTATCACACACACGCACATGCATACACACACGTTATTTGGTCCTTTTCATTTTATAGACCAGAAAACAGGGGCTGGGGATTTAGCTCAGCGGCATAGCACCTGCCTGGCAAGCGTGAGGTCGTGAGTTCGATTCCCAGTACTGGATTTAAAAAAAAAAAAAAAAAAGGAAACTGAGGCCCAGAGTAGGTAAGTTGATTTTGCTTGGCCAGAGATGGAGACTGGAATAGAACTCATTTGTTTTCATTTGAAATTTGTTCTTTTTTGCTCACTCAGCCTTATCCCCCTAGCACCTAACAGTTTTTAGCTCAGAGTTTAAAATGCCCAGGAAATAATTCTAATAGCGCCTTTCCCAACTAGATAGTATCTGTAGTTTACATTTTGTAGAAATGCCAGGACCTCGAGCTTATGTCTTGAAACTAGTTTTGGTTGCTTCTTGTTTTATGAATTATCCATTAAATACCTCTTACGCTCTTAAGTCGCACACAGGAAGATATAGTTTATGTCCCTGCAGCTCTTTGACTTTTAGTAAGAGAAGTCATACACAGGTGGGTTAGGAGGGAAGGAGGAGAAAAGCCTTCCAGCTCATGGCAATGGGGTATAAGCTGCCTTCCCAGCCTGCTGGGCGGAGCTGGCAGCAGGAGCCCAAGGTGGTCTTGGAGTGGCTCACACCTGATCTAGCATGGACTGCGCAGGTGCTGTCTGCACAGCACATGGAGATTACCCAGATGCATAACCAAAATGCATAACCTAGATGCAGGTCTGGCCCCCTAATGCTCACAGTCTGGGTCCAAATGTGTCCTGTCCAATTTCTATAGGACTCTGTGCAAACATGTGGTCAAGGGTTTTAGGATAGCAAAAGCCTCCTAATCTTAGTCTCCTTCTCGTGACTGGGACACAATACCCAGCACCCACAATTTAAAGGAAAACTTTGTCTCACAGTTTGTAAAGATTTCAGTCTGTAGTTGGCTGGCTCCGGGCAGAATGGCCTGGCAGTGGGGAACCAGCCTTCTTAAAGGAGGAGCTGGGGAGGGAGATAAACCCCTCCAGGCCACGCCCCCAGAGACCCGCCTCTTCCAACCTCACTTCCTGGTTGTTCAGCATTAGGCCAGTCACCTTCCAGAGGCCCTATGTATAAGTTCATGAGGCTCTTGGGGAACATCTGTTATATAAACCGTAACACCCGCTGTCTGCGTTGGGAACAGTTACCTCTCCCGACCACAGAATAGATGGAGAGAAAGAGGCAAAGCAGCTCAAAGGCTAATGTCACTATCTAATCTGAAGGGAGCGAGTCACAGTGTGCCTGGGGTACACCTCTTCCCTCCCACCTCTAATTTGGGCCTCCCATACCCCTTCCTTTAGTCTCTTTCTCACCAAGACTGTGTCTCCCCCACCTTCTCCTCCTTACCCAGTACCATCAAATAAATGTCTGCCATTGCCACCACTAGCACTGTCAAAGCCATTCATAGTGGTGGGAGCACATGACGTGTGTGATTCCAGCCGTCTCTGCCCTGGTTAGCTTGGTGACCCGGATAATCCCCATGACTCCTTGAAGCCACAGATTCTGCGGTTGTCAAATGAGAAAGTCCTCCTCCTCTGGATTGCTGTTGGACAGTGCTGCCATGTAGGGAGCCAGCAGTCCCCTTTGTGGGGCTAGCTTCACGTTTGGGAAGTGTCCCACTACTCAGACAGTCGGGCAGATCTGCCTTGTTCAAGAGAGACTCCACTCCTCCCCCTTTTCTAGCTGTTTTGTATTTTGCAGCGCTGGGGATGGAACCCAGGGGCTCACACATGCTATCATGGAGCTACTCCTCAGAACCTTTTTAAAATTCTTTTGTGAGACAGTGTCTCAGTAAGCTACCCAGGCTGGCCTCAAACTTGCGGTCCTTCTACCTGGTCTCCCAAGTAGCTGGGGTTACAGGCATGTGCCACCATTCCCAGGCTCTACTTACCTGCCAGATTCTACCTATTTTAAACTGTTGCCTTATTGATGCTGTTTTGTCTATGAAAAAAATTAATATGGGTCCCTTTAAATTCCTATTTCTATTTTTCTAAGATTGACTGACATTAGTGCCTGATTTTCCTGATAAGTGATTCCTTGATTAGTAGAAATATTTGTAAAGCTTATAACATGAATCCATAACTGGCTTATCCTTAATTATAATCAGCTGCTAATGTGGCAAATGTGTGTGTGTGTGTAAATTCACCCAGATCTCAGTGAGACGTTTCATAACTGGAAAAAAGATGGCTCAGCAGCTGTCATTTCTCCAGCTTTGCATTAATTTACTGTTTGCTAGATTAGGTTAATTTCTCATCTTGGCAAGAACTAAAAAATCTCATTCTCTTTTTTGTTCGTGTATCCATTTTTTCCAGCCCTAGTGATTGAACCTGAGGCCTTTTCACTGAGCTATACTCTCAGCCTCTTTTTTTTTTTTTTGAGACAGAGTCTCACTAAGTTACTCAGGCTGGGCTAAAACTTGCTATCATTCTGCCTCAGCCTCCCAAAATGCTGAGATTATAGGTATGTGCCATCACACCTGGGTCCTTTGTTTTTTTTTTTCATCTTTTTATGCTTACCTTGCCCAAATAGAATGTATTTGGGTGATTGTTTATTTGAGAACCTGTGGTTTATTTTTTTGCATGTGTGAACGAAGTTATATCAGTGAGTATTAAGTAACATTCTGACCTCAGTGAAAATGATGAGTTAAGACAGCTACGACTTTGAGAAGTGACACTAGTTAAGGAAGGAAAACTTAGTTACTGAAATCATGGTAAGACAAGAGAGAAAACTAGATTACTGAAATAAAGATAAGACAAACAAGATAAAAATGATCTAATTGATTACAAAATAAAGCAAAGCACTAAAGTCATGGCAACGTATGCATGATTGTTTAACATTTGACAGAATGCATTTTGATTTCATTTACAATAGTCCCACGATGGGGTTGATCCTTCATGTTCCAAATGAAAAACAGAGGTTTGGGGACACCTGTATGGCTCACTTAGGGTCAGACAGTTTCTAAATGGCAAAGACTGGAACTCAGATCTTCAGACTTCGGATGGAAAGCTCTCACTTATACTCTACTTTGTCTCTCTCGCCGGCAAGAAAACAAAACAAATGTGTTTGATGATGAGAGCACCGAGGAAGCCCACTGGAAAAGAAAGGTCGCAGCCATGCTCAGCCGAGGAACAAAGGGAAGACTGGGCTGGCATCTGTGGAATACAAAAAAGTCAGTCTAATGAGGATGAAGCATCTTGTAAATTTTTTAGTTGCAACCCACAAGAAGAAATACTGTATGTCATATGTTTTAGTGTGCTACACAAGGATATATCTATGTACTGAAACCAAAGTTTCATGATCCAGTACTTTATTTAAATGTATACAGTATCTTGATTTCTTTTGTTTCAGTTGTTAAAACATGTGAGACATACCGTAGCAAGACGCTATGCCCATACTTGGAAAAACCCTGGGCAAGGCTCCCATTGTCGGTTAATAATATGATGCTGAACAT